TTTCAAAGTTTTTAAAACTTTCAAGCTCGTGCCCATTACACTTTAGACCCGTATCTTTTAAAATGTTCACTTTAAATTATAAGGGCAATTTGGCCAGCAGTTTAAATCATCAAAATTATCTCGTAAAAAGGTTTCTAAAATATCTGTTTTTAACCAGATTTCCCTCATCGATTCGATATTGGAAATGTAAAATAACCATCATTGCTAATTAACGTTACAATCGCTATTTTGACAAATTTACTGTGACAGTAAGATTTCTGAAAATAAGAAATATTTTTTGAAAAAGTTTTTTAAATTGTTAGTGTTGTTGTTGTTATTGTTACAACTGCTGCTGTTGTTGTTTTTGTTGCTGTTTGATGCTCTTTTTCTATGAGAAAAAAACTTCGAATAAGAAGCTTTAAATTTTTTGAACAAAAATATTTAAAAAATATTATTAAACAAACCATTAAATTTTCTTTTTCTCCTGCTTCTTGATTAAAGAGTTTAAATAAAATTGTAAAATGTGTAAATGTAAAATGTGTAAAATGGTGTAAAAAATATTAGAATTAACAACTTCAGAAATAATGGTTTCAAGTGAAAAAATTTATAAACTCTTTGTATTGTTCAAATCAGAGATTTTATTGATACACATAAAACTCTTTAGCGTGTTTCAATGTTGAACAAATATTTTAATAGGTTTTAGTGTATGTTAAAACCAATAAAACCTATATTTCAAATACAGCAACCTTGACAATTGTTATCTTACTGATTTTAACCTATTTTTTGACACTCGTTATCTTACTGACTTTACCCTATTTTCTTGATATTCGTTATCTGAGGAAGCGGATTAAGTTTTATAAGAACTTCAGCTTAATGCACATTTGTAAAAAAAAAAGAGTTAAAATCATCCAAACAAGACCTATAACTAAAAAAATGTAGCTAGTGACAAACATTAAAATATTTTTTTACTTGTATCTATATAATGAGACTAGTGACACCATTATAAAATATTATTTTACTGCGTAAATATCTAAACACACATACTTTAGACTGAGATTGAAATCAACAAAAGTTTTGAATAACTCTAATACTTTAACTCTATGTTATTCTTGAATCTTTGTAAATAAGTTATCACAGTTTAAATCTAATTCTTTGCGTTTGTTTAGTTTTATTTGTAAACTTGTATGTCTTTTATATGTCATGTATTTGATGGATAACAATTTTAAAGATAAGTATTTTTCATTTAACAGCAACTCATTTTCAAATTTAATGAACTGATTAAGCTTCTAATATAACTTCTAATATAATTTATAAAGCTTCTAATATACATCTGGTTTTAATACACTTGTGATTACGTCTAAGATATCGCATTTAAAACATCTATTTTATAGCTTTTTCATGATCTAATTGAGAGGATGAAACTGTATTTAAAAAAAATTGTAATCGTAAAACACAGCATGTAAATGAGAAATCGTAATTTGTAATTGAGAATTCCTAAATAGTAACCAAAAATACACAATCGAAACTTGTAGCTTTTTGTGAAAGTCTTTTTGCCCTTGAGTTTAATAAAATTATTAATAAACAAATTTAGTCAATAATAATAGCAACAATAAAAGTACTAATAAAAAGTCTATATTATATTAATTTATCAATTTTCTGTTTTTAATTCTGCTTTTTTAAATACTTTCAAATTTTTTAATTGATCCATCAATTTCTAATGCATTCGGTCTTTAATCTGCTGTTTTTGATTTTTACCTTAAGTTTTTTGTTCTATTAGTTGTAATACTTAGAGATTTTTTTTATTTATTTTTGGGTTTTTATTCAGTTATTCTGTACTTTATACTAAAACTTTGTAGCTACTGTCGTTGTCTTTATGATATTATGGTACTATTATTATTATACAAAAATGAAAAAACTTTTAAAAGATATAGAATTTGACACTTTCAAAAAATTGCCCTAGGTATTTACATATTTATTTTGACACTTTCAAAAAATTGCCCTAGGTATTTACATATTTATTTTGAATCTGACACGTTTCAAAAGTAAAATAGAAAGGTCATTGAGTTTATCTCATAAGTATGCAGACAGCTTGTGAGAAACCAATGTTTTCACACAGCTTGTGAGAAATCAATGTTCAAATTTGCGAAAAGTCACCACTAAATATATTTTATCAATGTTGACAAATTCTAGAAATTAACCACAACATTTTACGCAAAAATTAGCAGCTCTTGTTAAATATAAATATAATCATGCTGTTTTGAAAATTTATCTGTTTTATTACACACAAGATGGTTAACAACTGCAAATAAAATGTATTTAAGAACCGTAATCTACAATGTATTTAAGAACTGAATACACAACAAAAACACACAAAATTTGAGCTTTTCTTGTCCAAAAGCTATGCCTCTCTTTAGTTCAATATAAAAATAGTAAATACTTTCCAAATAAAGCAAAATATGTAACCAAAATGGTGAAATTGTAGAAATTTTTAATTATTCGTTGAAAGTAAAAATCTAGCAATTACAAGAAACGCATTTTTTTTTTTTTTACAACAATGCGTGTTGAACTATGCTTAGCGCCTCTAGTTTCTCAGAAACTAGAGGTGGTATGTACTAGAAACCAGAGGTTAAACTAATAGTAGGGGAAAGTGGGGCAATATGGCGAATGGGGCAAGATGGGTTTTCTTATAACAACCCAACAAAAAACCTTAAAATTGGTTGAAAACGAAACTGTATTTGCATCTTGTATTTTAAAACACCAATTGGTTTTTTGAAATATTATCAACGCAATTTTATACGCATAAGTTTACTTTTTGCGCTTAAAAAAAATTCCTCACTTTCGGTTTCTCATAATGGTTGGTGTCTTTCAAGTTTAACTTCTTTAGAAGTAGTTTTTTGCGATTTGCGTTTATTTTGTGTTACTTTAGTTAGAATTTTTGGTAGTTTTTAAAATTTTATAAAATTGGAGGTAAAAATTGCATAATAAGTCATCTTGCTCCGGTCACGTGATCAGATAACAAATTTATAAACTTTTTATTTTAATATTTATTTCAAATTGTTATATTTGCAAACTGAAAATTCATGCAGACAATGAAGGATTTTGATAACACAGACATACTGAGAAAGTATTATTGCTTCACGGCTGATAGATTTGCAATAACTCAGGGCTTTCAAAACGTTCGCCATGTTGTCCCGCTTTCCCCTATATAATGACAAATAAAGAGCTATGTTTCGATCTGAAAAAATGGTACTTGAATGGTGAGGTGTTTCTTCGTTTACAAAAACATGTCAAGCCTTATTACTAAAGTTGCTAATTACTTATTTGTTGTTAATATGCGAGTTAAATCGATATTTTATTTTTTAGGCCTAAAGAAGGCCTAAAGAATCTTGTTACAGAGCACATAACTAGGAAGTTTATGTCTCCTTTTTTACTAAACACGCAAAAAATGTCCAAAGCTTGCATTGAACCTTGGATCTCCTGCTTCACGAGCAAGCGCTTTGCAACTACATCACGGTTGTTCATGTAAATATATATATATATAAATATATAAATAAATAAATATATATATATATATATATATATATATATATATATATATATATATATATATATATATATATATATATAACCGTACGCTGCAGTTGTATGCCATCTTGCATGCTTTTAGCATTTTTATAATTGCTAGTCGACAAAATTAATATTGCGGTACTCTACAGGTTTGTTTTAATAAGACTGTTAAATGAATAAAAAAAAATTACCTTCATAGTAATGTATCAAGAAAATGTTTACCAGTAGCTACAATCACATTAAACATATGGTTAGTTTTGGTGTATTACTTGCAAGTATATTATAGGGATTGTTTTATTTAAATTAATACGGACAAAATAAGAAAGCAAATTGTAACATGCTTTTCTTGATTTAAACTAAAACTGAAAAAATAATATTAAATCTAATGTTTAAGCTTTTTTTTTTTTTTTAATATATAGCTCGGTATAGTAAGATTTATAAATTTTATAAATTTATAATTTTTTTAAGCACTTTATAAATTTTTTCAACTCTTTTATTATTTGGAATTAGCATGATTTTGACAGGGTATTATGTCCAAACAAGAGTTTTTGATGCTACAATTTTTTTTGCTTTAGGTTTTTTTTTTTTTGCTTAAAAGTTTGTTTTTTTTGCTTTAGGTGTTTAAAGAAACTTTTCACTTTTTATATAATTTTCTTATTTTTTTTATTACCTCTAATTGTGAATCTATAAAGAACACCATTTTTGAAACCTTAGATTAATTCTGATCAACAGCGTTAACTTAATTTTAATGAAAATTTTTTGAAAAAGTTCTTTAATCAATAGATCCTGGCTCTAATCTATCTAGTACATATTAATTGAATATAATTGTCAAAACACAACATTTCTATCAATTTTCACAAAAATAGTAAAATTCCAACCACGAAAGAGCTTCTAATTACGAAAAACTGCCAATAAACGATTAGAACAGATCATATTATTAAACTATGATGTTCATTTCACCTAAACAACGTATAAATTCAAATTTAGACGAGCAATTTTTAAAGATTTTAAGTTTTTTTTTTTAAAAAAAAGAATCTTTGGTCTGAGTTTTTTCGCAACAATTATTTTTATTTTTTTCGTCTTTTAATAATTTACAGACCTGATGATTTAACGGAAATATGCCGTGGTCAGCAAAATATCATACAGAATATTTTAAAACCTATAATATTTTAACTGTACCGAGAGAAAGGCACTTAAAAAAAGTTTTTTATTAGACATTTAACTAAAAGTTAAAATTTTAAATAAAAACATGAATTTTAATCGACATTAAAAATTAAAGATGCAAGGATATTTTTTTTTTCTGATATAAAAAGTTTGTAACATTTCCACCCAAATAAATATTTTTCAAATAAAATATGTACACATTCTTTTAAATATTAAAGACCTAAATATTGTAAAGTTATCAATAAAAACTACAGACCTGTGATTTGTTACAAAGTTAAAAAGTCTAGCAATCGTTGGGATATTTCTCGTCTCTATATTTATATTAGACAGTCTCAAGATTACATACATTTTTGTTTATATTCAAAAGTCTCAAGGTTACATACATTTTTGTTTATATTCTTGATTAGAAAAATGCTGCAATTGTATAATCGTAAAACAAAAATTTCAATAACTGATGGTTAAACTTAACTACTCAATAAAATTATAAAGTTTTATTAAATTTCATCTTGATCACCTGATTATTCAATTATTAAAACTCGAGCTCGAGACTTAACTTGAGACAAGTTGCTTGCTTTAGTATCATACAAAAATTTCCTTACAAAAGATATTAAAAAGCTAAAAAATAAAGTAAAAAATAGAATGCTAAATATAAGTTTTTTCTTTGTCTACCAGCTCAGTAGAGTGTCTTTTCTTTGCATGACATCTTATATCAACAAGTTTCAAATTTTCAGATGTAAACAGAAGTCTATAAAAATATTCGACGTTGACTTGTTTGCCCGGAGGACATTCCTTGATTGCCTTTACTAATTGAGGTAGAATTTCACGAGACTTCTCAACTCTAAATATCAAGAATATTTACTTAGATTTTTAGGCGATTACTAAAAGTTTATAAAAAAATTTTTTATAAATTTTTATTTGGAAAACATTAAATAACAAAAATAAATAATAAATATGTCAAAAATATTTCATTTTGGTACCATTTTTAAAGTGACCACGCTGTGGTCACTTTAAAAAGCTCAAATACGTTTAGGCATAGAATTAATCAGATGCATACTTTTTAAAGTATGCATCTAATTAATATATATATATATATATATATATATATATATATATATATATATATATATATATATATATATATATATATATATATATATATATATATATATATATATATATATATATATATATATATATATATATATCTATATCTATCTATATATATATATATATATATATATATATATATATATATATATATATATATATATATATATATATATATATATATATATACTATATATATATATATATATATATATATATATATATATATATATATATATATATATATATATATATATATATATATATATATATATATATATATATATACATATATATATATATATTATATATATATATATATATATATATATATATATATGTATATATGTATATATATACATATATGTATATATATATGTATATATATATATATATATATATATATATATATATATATATATATATATATATATATATATATATATATATATATATATTTATTGACCGTCTAATGTTTAAGGGACTTGAGCTACCCCTAAAAATATTTTATTTTCGAAATTTTTAAATTCCTCTGTTATTTTATTATACAGAACACATTTAGTGGGTGGGAGCAGACATTTAAAAAAAAATTATTTTTTGGAACACCCTTATATAAATATAAGGGTATAAACTTCATAAAAAAGCTTTGTGAGGGGAAGGCACTTTTAACATATCAGAAGCTTTCAATTAATACTGCTATTCTGGTCTTCTCTATAAACTTGCTTTACATGGTGTATGTTGGAAAATTTTTAACTGCAATACAAAAGTTATTTGTGATGGACAACACTCTCCTTCATTCCCAGTAACTTCTGGAGTACTACAAGGTTGCATCAAGTTGTTCCTCATCTATATTAATACTGATAATCTTGCATTTAATGTTAACACTACTATATGTTCCAATATCAACAAAAGTGTAACCCTTTTGAATGCTTGGAACAGGTAGCCAATCTTAAAAGGGATTTCTCTTCTGTGGCTTGTAGTGGTTGGTGAATTTAAACTCAATTGTTTATTACTAATAATTATAACAATATTATTTATATTTCTATGGCAACACCTTTACAGAGTCATCTACTATAGATCTTGGATTATCCTTCACTATTGACAACATAAAGAACACATATAAACAACCCATTGCAAAGTCTGTGTGTGGAAAAATCTCTGATCTACGACCTATATATAATATGCCTCAAATTAAAAAAAAATTTTTATACCCGTGTTTTTTCCATTCTGAAATGTCCACTGACTTTATATGTAACACTAAAAAATATCATAACCTTAATTTCAGCAATATATAGTATCTCGTCGGCAATATATATTTTTTCGTTATTAAAATTTTTTTTGGCTTTTACAACAAATGTACAAATTATCAATTTGTTTTAGAGTAACTAATTATAAAAACATTAACTGAAATAATACTTAAAAAATTGTTTTAAATAATCCAAAGGATTAAAACAATTTTTATCAGGGAGGTTTTTCCTGCAAGGCTTCCAACAAACCTGCTGCCAACCATTAGAAATATCCTTACAGACGTGTTCAGATTATTAGACTATAGATTTAAGAAAATTATTTTCCGTGATTGAGTTCAAATATCTATTACATTTTCACAAGTATAACAGTTAAAAGATTTTAAGTATAAAATATGACATTTTTCTAATGTTTTTACATACTTTTTATATTTGGCAACGTCACTTTTTTTTTGTTAGAGCGTTTTCAATATTGGGAGGCAAGTCAGCGCATGTTTTTTTTCCTTTAGTAGCAAAACGTTGCAGCAGTTGTTTGGGTGTCATTTTAAAGTAATTTTAATTACTTTTAATTTATTTTCTTTACAAAATTACTTTATGTATAAAAACTTAATTCGAATTTACTAATAAATTGTTTTTGTTTAGGAATTATACAGTAAAACTGGTGAAATTATTTTATTTTAACAATGGGCAAAAAAAATGATATTTCCCCCAAAAAATATTCTGCTGTAAAAACTTTGTTGGGTGAAAAGGTTTACACACAAACTCAAATAGCTTTAAAAGTTGGTGTAAGTCAGAAAACAGTAAGCAGAATAAAAAAATGTGTTGATAATCAAGAGCCATATGAGCACCACAGAATAGGGAATTGTGGTCGTAAAAGAAAAATAACCCCAAGGACACAAAGAAATCTGGTTAAAATGGCACTTTATAACAGAAGAGCCACATCTAAGGTGTTGTGTCAACAACTTAATGAAGCAGGAGTCGATGTTTCTACAGTTACTGTTCGGAGAAGGCTTTTTGAAAGTGGTTTGAAAAGTCGTCGTCCACAAAAAAAACAAAAGGTTACACCAGCGATGGCTAAAAAGAGGCTAGAATGGGCTAAAATTCATGAAAACATGTCTATCTATGACTGGAGTAAGGTAAAATGTATGCAAAAATTGTATTCAAAGTCATTTTGAGAGTTTCACTTAACATTTGATATCAAAATTTATTTTAAATATGAAGATGAGTTCTAAAAAAATTTAGGCAATTTTTTTTTCTAAAGAATCTCTCAAATTTTATCTGTAATTTTTTGCAAAGTGTTTCTGTGTACTCATTTGTATATTTATTATATCCAGGTATGTTTTAGCAATGAATCCATCTTTTTGGTGGTGGAAGAACAGAGCCAATATGTTCGAAGAAGACCAGGAGAAGAGTTCAAGGCAGAGTGTGTTAGCCAGAGTGTCAAGCATCCAACATCTGTTATGGTGTGGAGTGTCATGTCAATACACGGACCGGGAATGTTGTACATCGTAGAAGGCACCATGAATCATGTACAATATATTAAAGTGCTACAAAATAGGTTAATTCCCCAAATTAAGACATGGTTTCCAGAGGGAAATGTAATTTTTATGCACGATGGGGCTCCGTGTCATAAAGCCAAAAAAGTGACAGAATTTCTTCAGCAGAGCAGAATCAAGACATTGCCGTGGCCAGGAAATAGTCCCGACATGAACCCCATTGAAAATTTGTGGGCTGTTGTAAAGAAAAAGATCAAGAAAGAAACAATTACCACCAAAGTGCAACTCATCGAAAAACTGATACAAATATGGCATCAAGACCAAGACATCAAAAACATTTGTAAAACTCTGGTAGAAAGCATGCCGAGCCGCATTAATATGCTTATTAAAGCCAAGGGGCTCCATACCAAGTATTAATTAGGGTTTTTTTTATATTTACGAACGTAATATCTGTAATATTTTTATAAAAATAAAAAAAAAAACGAGAAAAAAATTTTAGTCTAATAATTTGAACACGTCTGTAGACACATGTAGTTTATAGAATATTCTGGGTAGAACATTTAAATTTAATTTTTTTAAATAAATGCATTATAAAAATATAATAAAATATATGAGTGTTGTAAACTATAGCTGATTTTATGCAACATAGATTTGATCCAACCTCACGTTGGATCAAATCTATGTCTTTTCCAGTCTGTCCAATTTTTTGACTCATGTCAAAAAATTGGACAGACTGGAAAATTTTTTTTACAAGAATAACAAAACCATAATGATTTAGCTATTTCAACTTTAACTTAGCTATTTCAACTTTGGATCTATATTTTTGGAAATAGATTTCAATATACTAATTTGATAGAAGCCTAACCTTAGAAGCATAAGAACAGTGATCTGGTGTTCAATGAGAGTTGTGACAAGATTCCTAAACAAAGATGTGCTGTAAGAGATGCTTGAAAAAAAATAGGGCTTCATGACTTAAGCATCAGTCAACCCAGTGTTAGGGATAAGATACTAAAGCTATATATCCCTGGTAGTACCGCGCTCAACTTGTTTCTCCGCGCAGCGGCCTTGCTCGTCAAGGTTCGTGTTTCGGAGTTATAGAGTTGAGAGAGGGTTATAACCACAAATAAGTAGCCTCCTCGTCTGTAGTGGCCTTCTCGGCCTTGAGGAGGTGAATTAAAATAAAAAAAAAAATAAAAAAAATAATAAGTACATAAATCTACACTATTATCCATTAAATCTACATAGAACTAAGATTCCAGAGCTGGCAAGTTCTCTAAGATGCAAAATATTTTCTTAGAGTAACACATTCAGTAAGAGTAACACACTCTTTCATAAGAGCATAAGAATAACACACACTTAATATTTTTGGAGCAAAGTACAAAGAGAAAGTACATCATTATTGTTTTCATTCTGAAAATGCTTAAGAGGAGAACATTCAGTTCTATCTAGGACAAAAAGGATTGGGAAACATATATAATACACAAAAGCCCTGAAACAAGCATTCCAGAAGTCAGTGAAAAATAAGGATATTCAGTTAAAAGCAGTAGGAAACTTAAAAAGTCCTTACCAAAAAGCAAATAGCCCTTGGAAACAGAAAAAAATAAGGTTGGTAATAAATTTCCGCCTTTAAACTGTAAGGGTAAGTTAGCGAATTTTGGGTGGCATAGAATTTCGTGCAAACAGCCTTTCGCATCAAAAAAATCACACTGAGGCTAATTTAATTAAAGTGTTGTTTCACGTTCAGTTAGAACAACCTTTCTGCATCAGGTTACTGCTAACCTTATGTCGATAGTCCAAATATTTATATTAAAAAAGCTATTATAAATTACAATACGACTAAATTACGACTACAATACGTTAAATTACGGTTTTTCACGTAAAGTGTAAAAGCATAAATCTTTTTACACTTAACTTTTACACTTAACTATACAAAAATAAAGCATGACATTTCTTTGAAAGAAGTACTAATCCTTCACCCAAGTTTAACAAAT